CAGTGTAACGAGCGTGAGGCTGAGGGTGAGCCGAGGGAGAGGAGAGAGAGGAAGAGAGTGAGAGCACACACACACACTCACTCACTCGACTCGACGGACTCGGACTGAGGGTCGGACGCAGACACAGTGGTAAGGCACAAAGTCGAAGTCTTGGATTCTGAATGCCGAAACAGCAAGTCACACTGAGTACGAGTACAGCAGCAGAGAACTGGTACGAGACTGGCCCCCGTACCGTACGGGGAGCCGGTATAAGTACCGGTGACACGTACGGTACCAGGGGCGTCTCTGCAAAGGCCCCGAGGGCAGAACTGAAAAATGCAGTATTTGAAAGTGGCGCCCGAATTGCAGCATGGCGCCAGTTGTCCAAAATCCTATGGTACCRAAGGAGGGGTTTGGAAAAAGGGTGCCAGGCCGAGAACGGGATGCAGCCAAAACAGCAAAAGATAGACCAGGGATCAAGCCCTGGCGAAGTCCGTAACACTCAGAGCATTTTGAGGAGATTTTGAAAGACTGTCGAGGGTTCAGCCTCCTGACGAGCTTAACTGTAGGAATATTACTGGGAAGTTGGTGGGCTTATCATGAGCTAGGTTGGGGCGGTTGGTGGTTTTGGGATCCCGCAGAAAATGCATCTGTGATGCCTTGGGTATTAGCTACAGCTTGTATTCATTCAGTCATTTCATTTCGGTTCGGCGCAACTCAAACGAAACAGTCTGTCACTACTTCTCTGTTTGTTTTGCACTGTATCATTGTCTTGGGTCTGTTTCATCTGCAATGCAGTGCAAACTGTGTTGGAAGCATAGACTCTGCTCTTATGGTTCGGCATAGTAGTCCCACCTATTTCCTGCGTTCCATCTTGGAATGTCTGTGCCACACCTACAACTTTTTTGTTCCTAAGACGCGCCAATACTATATCTCGTAGATCTGGCAGTACAATGTCTTGTACCATGACGCGCCATTCATGTGCACACACACTTTCACACTTTCATGCTTCCACTCTTCCACACACACACACACACACACACACACATACATATATCATGCCTTGTCGAGAGCATCATACATTGGGAAAACCATGTGCATTGTTGCGAGTGTGATGAATTGCTGGTACTGTGTAAGCTGGGTGAATGAAGATTACCTCTTTGGACCTGGTATACAAGCATAGTGATCCAAAAGCACATCGTCGGACCTGCCTGACCTCTGACTTGCTGAGATTTATCAGCTGCAGTATGCCACCTACTTCCATAAACTGCTGCCGTGCGCATTCATCCCTGAAACACACACGCCATAGTAGAACAGACAAGACATGTTCCCTTTTTTAAAAGCAGATTCTGAACAACAATGGGATGGCAGGGAAACAAGCCAAGAGCCTGCAGACAGACTTCTTTTTTTTTCTTTTTTTTTTAAATAAACAGAACCTTAAGGTTCTGGCTCCTCGTCCATTCTGGGGAGCATCAGTCCAGTTCCTATTCCCCCGGCAAGTCAAATAGAATACCATGAAAACTCACTCACGCTCCTTCCCCTTATGGTAGGAAGGTCCAAAAGACGGCATTGATTACTTCTGGTAGGAAGGATGTACCTCCCCTCACCCCTGCCTAAGCTAGCCTTTTCTACTCCTACACTTTGTTTGCTGTAATAGTTATCTCTTTACTCCTCGGTTGCTGTACTGATTTCCGTTTGTTTACTGGGCCCCTTTCCAGACTAATCCTCTCAGCTCTTTGTCTGTCAGATACTCTTGCTGGGTCTGCTGGTTCGGTCTACTGCTGTAGTCTTTGCTAAAACCCTAAGCCCTATCGGCATTTGTATCAGGGTATCTTGTGTAAAACTTTGAATGTGCTTGACCTTTTCCCTGGAGTAGGGTTGAGTAGGGGGGGAGGTGGGAATTCTCTAGTTTGTGCGGTTGGAGGTAGTGACTGTTTGGGGTGTGGGAGGTTGTTACTGAGGGGGTCGAGTGGGGTGGGTGGTGGGTTCATGACGAGGGTTGGATTGTGTTTGTAGGAGAGTTGTTAGGGGGAGAGCGTGGGTACACCTGGTGTGTGTGGGTGGGATGATTAGCCAGTTCTTGAGGGTTAGGCTTCCATTCTTTATAGTTCCTAGATGTCCTGATTCTAAATTAAAGGTAATAGGCACCCCCGAATTAATAAGTTTTTGTTGACCACGACCTATTGGAACAAGGCTATCCACCGCTTTTAGGAAATTTCGGAGAAATGGTAAAATATGGGTGAGAGTTTTTTCAGATACTCCTATTACTAGCAAACCTACAGAAGTAAGGATGGGAAAAGGGCACTTCGTGCCTGCCTTCGGTCGGCG